GGCGCGGGAAACTGGCTGCCCCTCCCCCTGCAGCAGAGGGCAAGATACTGAAAACCCCCAGCTGTGCCCCCCAGCCCCTTGGGGGGCTGGTGCAGGGGGCTGTGGTTTATCCCAGGGACCCTTCCTCCTAGGGCTGGGTGGAGGGTGCAGATCCTTCAGCTCCTCACCCACCTCCTCCATCCTTTCATACACCCCCGTGTGCTTCTCTCCCCTCCCACCCTCCCTGCGGGTGCCCCCGGGCGCCCTGGCCAGTGCCCAACGCCGCAGCACGCAGCTCCCCATCAACCTGGGCTCAGCGCCTTGCTGCTCCCCCCACGTTTCTCTCTGGGCTTTCCCCCACACTGAGGATTTGAGTGTGAAAACTTCAGCGTGGCCACGGTTTGGCTTTGGGACCCTCCCCATGTCTTTTTCTGCAGTGGTGATTACGTGCAGCTCTGGCTGCTGCTGCTTTCTCTCCCTGCAACTTGTTGGGTTCACTCGCTAGCTCCTCAGGCGGGCACGGGAGAGCTCGCCCCTGTGCCAAGCGCCAACGCCTTGGGCTGGTGCAACAGGTACCTCAGGGAAAGCCTCTGGAGAGATGCAGGGATACAGGACAGGTCACCCAGCCCGCTGAGCATCATTGGGAAATAGTCCATTTGCAGCTCCCATGCATGGAGCTGGTCCTGGCTGGAGAGTCACAAACCACCCCAGGCTTGAGGGGGTGAAGGGGCAGCTCGGGGAGGGAGCTGAATTCCCCGTGGCACCCCTAAATCTGCCCCTGCTGGCAGTGCCCTCTGGGTGGGTGGCTGCAGGAGCATTGGTGCAGTTGTGAGGATGGGGCTGTGGTAGCTCAGAGCCCTGCAGGGCAGTGGCCAGGCGGGCCTGCCTGCTTTTCCAGAACATGCCAAATTATTCACATGCTTTTTCAGCACGGTGTGGGAGGGCCCTCGCCCCTTTGGCTTTCGATTTAAAGCAAGAAGGAGCTGGGGTGCTGCTGCTGGCCCAGCTCTCCCCACGTGGGCAAGGGTCCCGTGCCGGCATGATGTCTCATCTCCAGGCAGCCCTGCTGTCTCCTAGAGACTAGAGCTTCACCACTGCGTGGCAAAAACTCCCCAGCATTATTCTTTTCTGGAATTTGCAATGCATGAGGGAGATGGGTTCATTTTATATGTTTTTCCAGAAGTAAGTGACGTATCCCCATGTGAGCGCTGGGAACGGGTGCGCTCCAGGCGTGGTAGCTGAGCATCCTTGCCTATCCCCTGACTGTGCGCCGTCTCTTTCTAAGAAACTCATCCCCCCCTGCAGCTCCTCTGCACCACTTGAGCTCTTGGGGATGGACCAGGTTTTTTGGTGATCAGTTTGGTGAGGCTGGCCAGGCAAGTTGTTCCCATCCTTGTAGTTGTAGCCTGGCACATGCAGCTGGTGCCTTTTGGTAGGACTAGGGCAAGCATGTGAGCATCTCAACTCACTGGCCTGAAGCCCATGGCACCATTCCTGGGCAAGGGTGGTTTGGGAAGGTGAGTGTTGGATTTTGGCTACAGTCAATGAGAGCTGCTGGCCTCAGGAGGAAGATGGCCCGTCTTGGTTCTGTGGGTTGGGATGGGCATGGCACCGAGGAGAGCCAAGGGGGCTGAGGTGGAGTGTGGGGAGGAGTGGAGGCTCTTCTTCATCCAGCTCCAGTTGACTAGGTAATAGGGCTAAAAATAACTGGTGATTCAGGCCTGTATATCTGCTGGGTAACTGTATAATTATAACCAGCAGCCTCTGCAGTTTGGCTTCTCAGTGTAAATAGGGATGATGCATGGGGGGGAAGGAAGAGAAATACGAGAAACTGGGATTGGGATACAGCTCCATGGGGAGATGAGTCTTTGCCGAGTTTCTCGCTGGAAAGCCCAGTGTGTTCCCTCCTCTGGAGCTGCTCTTTTTACCAGTTCTGCCCAAAATGTGGGGTAGCTGCTGTTTTGGCTATAGGATCATCTATTCCTCTTCTCCTTCCGAAACGGCCTCATCCTGCCTGCTCTCCTGCTGGCGGCCAGGCCTTTAGCCCTGATTTCATTTGTTTGGTTGCCTGGAAAGCTGCAATTCAGTTAGCACACGAGATGGGCTACAGCTCATCTATATCTGCTCCGTTCTTCCATCTGCTTAATTACATTTGACCTGGATAAGATCCCTTTCCCGCCCCAGAAAGGCCAGATGACATTGTGTGACTCTGGTTATGTCCCCAAGGACGGTCTCTGGCTGTAGGTGGGCATCAGCCACTGTACCTGTCCTCTTGGTTTGGCAGGGGAAGAGGGATGTCCATCAGTCCTCTGCTGTTACCTGCAGTGAGGGCTTTCTCCTATCTCAGCCCCTCGGAGGACCAAATCTGGTGCTGGGCTGGCCAAGAGCAGCCAGGGTGTATCCCCGGTCCAACATGCATGGGGATTTTGCTCCATGGGTGCCTGTACCATTTTGCTCATGCTGACTCCCACTTTGACCCGGGCGTCTCTGATGCTGTGTGGTCACTGCCCCTTGGGGACCCTGGCAGTGTTATAATGCACCTGGGCAAGCATCTTCTGCACCTTTACCCAGCCAAGATTTTGACAGGTTTTGCCTCCCCACGGGGAGAGCTACGCCATGTCGTGCCATCCTTGGGCAGGTCCCTCCTTGTGCTACCCAAGAGCATCTATTTTTTTTCCCTCCAAGGCTGTTTTCTGTGCCCTTCATTCATCAGGTTTTTAAAATTTATTTATTTTTTTTTTTTAGGGAGGGGCGAGTAGGTGTAATGGCAGGTCCATCTTTTTGACAGCCAGAGAGAGCGAGGCTGCCTGTCAGATGGTGAATTTAAACAGAGGCAGCTGTTGTCATGGCGACGCCAAGTTGCATCCTGTTGCTGTGGCAACCAAAGTTAAAAAACTGATGTTAAGGCAGGAAAATCACATGATGTGGTTCTTTTTTGTTTAAAATATAAAAAAAAAAAAAAAAAAGGAGGAGGAGAGGAGAACAGAGAGATTTGATTTCCAGGTTTTAAGCGCAGGGTGAGGTGGGGGAGAAGGAAACGCGTCCCCACAGGAGTGGCAGCTGTGGGGGCAGTTCTGCCCCAACCAGCCCTTGGCTGGCACTGCCTTCCGTGTAGCCCCTGGTGGAGACCAAATGGCCACGTTTTGGAGCCTCCCCAGCCCAGGCGCATCCCTGCAGAGAGATTTAGGCAGGATGAGCACCTTGCTTGGGTGCTCCTTGTGAGCCGTGCAGACACGAGCACAGCCCTCAGCCCACGCTCGCTCTCCTGAGCCTGTTTTTGCTGTTCATTATGGGCATGCATGAGCTGGCTCACGATCAAAACATGATGAGGATTTGGGCTCAGCACCTTGACCTTCTGGGTATCGCTTTCTGTCAATCCCAGTAAAGCACAGATAGGATGACGAGTGGCAGGGCGCAGGGTTGGGGACAGCCCTACGGCTGCTTGAGGGCAGTGGATAGCCTTATCTGCTGGGGGAAGTTCTCCCTGTCTCCAGGGACAAGTCAGAGAGGTGGTGTAGGGCTGGGGAACCCCAGAGTTGAATTAGGACCACTCATGGTCTTTGCTTCAGTTGGCATTTTGGGTTTCTCCCAGAAAACAGCCTTGGGGAGGAGATGCTTGCTTTCCTACTGGTGTGTGGCTGCTTGAGGGCAGTGGATAGCCTTATCTGCTGGGGGAAGTTCTCCCTGTCTCCAGGGACAAGTCAGAGAGGTGGTGTAGGGCTGGGGAACCCCAGAGTTGAATTAGGACCACTCATGGTCTTTGCTTCAGTTGGCATTTTGGGTTTCTCCCAGAAAACAGCCTTGGGGAGGAGATGCTTGCTTTCCTACTGGTGTGTGGAGCTGAGAGGGTTCAGGGTGTCTTAGGGATGGGGATGTTGAAGAGAGGTGGGTCGTTGTTCCTATCACGGTACATCTGCGTGGGGGTACGTAGCAGTGGTGGGGTTGGGACCAGCAAGATGAAGTCTACAGATGTAGGAAGTGAATCTTGCCACTCACTGACACTGGGGGAGCAGGGGAAGCTTCTCAGTGCAGCAGGTCTGGGGGGGAGCCTGGGGGAGCGTTGGGAAATGGAAATTTAAATTTCTAGGAGAATTTGGAGCTGTGCTGGGTGATGCAGGCAGGATGAGGGGTTAAATCATTACTGCCCTTCTTGCTGGCCCTCTGAGGTAGGCTTCCCCAGGAGTCCTTTTGGACTTCCCAGGGGCAGGGAGAAGACACTGTCACTGAAATGGAGAGATGGAGGGGGCCTCTCCACAGCTCCCAGGCCTCAGCAGTGTCGGGAGAGGGATTTATCTCACACCCAGCCTCTAGGGGAGATTGTATCAACGTGCCATCAGCACCATCAATCCATCTTCAGGGCTTGGAGCTGGGAACACTCCCTGCGTTAGCAGTATAGATGTTCTGGGTGGGCTGGTTTTGGCACCTGCCTGGGGAAGAAGGTGGAGGGTCACAGCTGGAAGCAAGGATCCACTGGTGCCTGGACATCTTTCTGATGCTCCCTGCCAGACCCACCAAGGACCTCCAGCTCCAGGCATGGGATTAGCCCAGGTGGACTGGGACGTGGGTCTAGGAGGGGGTCCACATGGCCTGGGCACACCTTCCCCACCTCAAACGCACCAGGAGGGAAGCTTGGAGCTGCAGGTGTGGTGTGCACTGGGATTGGCCGAGTTGCTAAGGAAACAAGTCAACGGTGCAGGGGAGAGAGCGTTGGGTAAAGGAGATAAATCAATAAGAAAACCTATTTTTATCAGCTCCCTAATGATCCTCCAGGAGAAGCCAGACGAAGGAGGAGGAGGAGGCTGGAGAGAGATGGGCTTTCATTACTGGACTCGGAGGGATGCGAGTGCTACTCTGCATTTTGGGTGGCTGGAAGGTCATGTAATTAGACATCTAATGAGAGAGGAAGCAAAGGAGTGATAGAGCATTGTCCGGTGGGCTCCAGCCCTGAGCTTGGAGGACATTTGCTTGGCAGAGGCGGAGTGTGTGGATAAAATTTCCTTCCTTGTTTAGCCAGATGTTCCTGGTCTCCCCTGGGGAGGGTTTCCTTACCCTTGGACTATCAGAACCTCGCATGGATGCAGCTACAGGGGCTTGTTTCCACAGGGTTGATGGCTTGTAGCTGTTACCCAGCTCCAGACAAGATAACCCAGGCTCGAGTTTTCAGCAAACTGGGCCAGTGGGCTTTGGCAAGTCACTTTTGTCAGGGACCTTGTGCTTAGGTCAGTGATCGTCCTGTTTCCCTTAGACTTGATACCTGCTGACCTATGTGCCACACACTTGCTGGAGGTGGAGCAGCGACGTGGTCCTGTGGCAGATGTGCACTGCCCTTGTGCTGTCAAGCCAGGTGTTGGAGCCAGCAAGGGAATATAGGGGCGAGTTGAGCCATTAGAAGTGGTCCTGAGCCCCCCAGCCGCTGCCAGGCAGGGTTCCCATGCTGCCGGCTTTGGAGAAGTTGGGTTTGTCCCACCTGGCTGTTTCCCCCACAGGAGGGAGGGGGCAACACTGGATGCCCGGCAAGGTGGGGAGGAATGTGGGATGCTCGGTGGGGGTTAGCTGCGCTGAGGTGGACAGACAGCAGACTGGGACAGACTGGAGCAGACAGACGGACTTGCTGCGCTGTTCCTACCCTTCTCATCTAGGCAAATGTGCCTAGTGCCTGGGGAGCCGGCTGCGCCGCCCCACTAACACGCTGTTTTCTTTTTAAGCCTGTGCTAATTGCTCGCAGACTTTCAGGAAAATGAAACAAAAAGACCCCAAATAGGCTGGTGGCTCTGGGCCAAGCACCGCGCTCCAAGTATTGGCTGAAATGGGAAACGGGGCTTTTGCAGGAGCCGTGCAATGAAATCCACACTTGTGTTAAGCCTTGGAGGAAAACCTTTGGGGTCTGGCCTCCCCCCCAGGCACGGGATTTGTGCGTGTCTGGCACCAAGGTCCAAGCTCGCAGCAGTGAGCTCTGCAGCCCCCTCTCTTTAGGTTTGCCTTTAACTTAGTAACCATTAATTTCACTGAGTGGCCTTTTAAATGCCTTGGCTGAATCTTTCCTGGCTCTTCTCCCTGCCAGGATAAACACATCCCAGCTCCTGCAGGCTCTCCTTGGCTGCCCCTCCTGGCTGGCTCCCTGGGGACCTGCTCCGATGCCCAGCCCTGCTCCCAACTTGCCCAGCGTGCACGGAATTGCTGCTGCCGGGGTTAATTCATGGTTTCCAGTTTCTTATGCTCGTGGCCACCACTGAGATGTCTTCTCTTGCCCGTGGGCTCAGGGCCACTGGTTTAAGGCATCTTGCTGTAGTCAGCAGCCAAAAGGCAAGATGGCAAAAGAGAAAATCATCCTTTTTCTAGGGGCTGATGGCACAGGCATTTGTTACCTTCTGACCCAAGTGGCGTGAACCTGAAGTTGCCAGGTCTGGAGAAACCTGGTGTGGTGAGGAAGGGCTTAGCTGGGGTGCTGCTCCCCATACCTGCTTGGGGTGGTGGATGATTTCTTTATGGGCAAATCTGTCCCAGGTGGGATCACGTCCCCATTCTGCAGACAGGAGCCTCGGGAAGGTGGCATTCCCCTCCTGGGGTGTCCGCTGATGCTAATGGTGACAGCAATATAGCCGTGAGTTTTTGGCACGAAGGGAGTGGAGGGGTGTGCTGCCTGCTGATGAATCTCACCTCAATTTGTTATTGAGGACAACAGGGCTTTTATTGCAAAGATGTGGTAAAGATGGATGGGGAGTCAGAAAGATGTGGTTGTCCTGTCACTTGGAAGTGCTTTGTTTTTGGGGCTTGGCGGTAGGCCAGGCAGGAGGAGAGGACTCCATGCTCCTGGCAGCCCCTGTACATCAAAAGGCAGAAGGGAGCTGAGTTTAAGGTGCTTTCCTGGGCGTCAGCCATCCCTTTCCTCTGCCTTCCCTCTCCATTTGCTCAGGTCCTCAGGTGTCAGTATCTGCTGCCACTTGTCCTGGTGGGAGGTTGGTCCCGGACAAGGGTGTGTAAGCCCTTGACATAGCTGTAGGATTTAGGATGCTTGTAAGGCTCCAGCCAGATCCTGTTGATAAGGGGCTGCTACCCCCTGGGGTCTCGCTGAAGCGTGGCTGAGCTGGGATGTCTCCATGGGGAGTTTCCACCCTCCCTGAACTGAAGCTCAGCCCCTGGCACCATCAGCATCTTGAGTTGCGAATGCTTAGCCTGGTGCTCTGCAGCTCCCAAGCTACCTGGGCTCACCCTGCCACCCACAGGGTGCTTGGCAAGAGACCCTTGGTTCCCAGGGCATGTCTACCTTGCCAGTATGGGACAGAGGGTGGGCTGATCCGGGTCAGATCCCTAGGACCTGCTAGGGATGCCATGCCACGGGGATGCTTTAGGACCAGGGCTGCTGATAGTCTGTGGCACCCCCCATCTCCTGTTGCTTCATGCTGAAAAAGAGAAGACAAGCAGCAGGGCCATGGTATGCAGGGATGTGCCAACCCTTGCCACCAGCATGCCACAACAGGGACCATGCCAAACCCTTTCCCAGACAAAGCTCAGCCTGCTCAGAGCCTGGCTGTCCACGTTCATACTTGTGTCCGTCTTCTGGGCTCCCACCACAAGCATCATCTCTCTCCCAAGGGACTTCACAGCCCAGCAAAGGCCGGTGGTTAATGTTCCATGAACCCAAGAGGGAGGTAATGAGGCTCAGCAGATCTCCAGTGAGGGAGATCTTGGGGGCTCTCAGTTCTCTTATCAACCTTCTCATTTCCACACAGCACCAAGCTGGGCTTCACCCTTCTGCCCAGGAGCAGCGGGAGGTGAAATCTGGGCTCTGTGTGTGCATGTTTCTGCAGGGAAAGCAGTGGTGGTGGCAGCTAACGAGCCAATTGTTAACGAGGTGAAAAGGTGGGCAGGGATGGGTTGGTGGGTTGGGGACATCGTCCACCTCTTCTCTGCTCCTTAACTCTCCTCCACTCCCTTCGAGTACATGATCCTGGCAACCATCATTGCCAACTGCATAGTGCTGGCCCTCGAGCAGCACCTCCCTGAAGATGACAAGACGCCCATGTCACGGAGATTAGTAAGTACCCTGCGCCCGTCCCTCTCTGCCCTATGTTGCGGAGTTTAGTGGGTCAGCAGGGGCACCGGTCAAGGAGGGCCACCTGATCCTACCAGCCAATTTCTTCTGGTTTTAGGGTGGTAGGATAGGAGGTGTCCTCTGGGACCAGCCCTTCCAGCCTTCCTGGGGCTGCTGCTACATAGCCCTCTTCCATGGAAAAGGTTCAGGAAGGGTTAAGACCCTTAAAAGGTGGGGTAGAAAAGGGAGACAGGGCAACTTGAGTGGGTTGTAGCCCCCACTTTACATTTCAAAGGTTAATGCTGGTTAAGGAAGGGCTGGGTAAGCTCCCAAAGGGAAGGATGGGGCTGGGGAAGGTGGGATGGGATGTGAGTTGTCAGTGTGAAATGGCTGGTACCGTTAGCTCCGTCTCTGACTATGTCACCGGTTCCCTTTTGGCAGGAGAAGACAGAGCCCTACTTCATTGGGATTTTCTGCTTCGAGGCTGGGATTAAGATCGTGGCTCTGGGATTCGTTTTCCACAAGGGCTCGTACCTGCGCAATGGCTGGAACGTCATGGACTTCATCGTGGTCCTCAGCGGGTGAGTCGGGTGGCACGGGGCCGTTGGTGGGGTTGGGCAGCTGGACACAGGGGCTTGTTCCGATGGGGACACAAGCTCCAGGACGTGGGACAAGTCCTCGTTTGCTGCTGTTGGTGGTGTTTCTTCATCCTAACAAAGGAGGGAAGGATGGTTCCCTGCACTGAAGGCTCCTGTGTTGGCTTTGCTGTGGGCAGCTGATGGCAGGACAAGGTTCCCCATTGGGCAAGGAGGGCTGGCTCTGAGGGCATCATGTCTAGCTTTCCTCAGCTGGTGGCCTGGCTTCTGTCACCTGTCTAGGCATGGGGTGAGGTGAGGACGAGGTAGGAGCATGGCCTGATAAGCAACTGGACATGGTCTGGGAAAGGTTTTGGTCAAACCTGCTAGGGGGATGTAGAAAATCTCTTCTCCTCTTTCTTTCTCAAGTACTTTCCAGCCTTGGCTTGGTGCTGGGACTTTGGGAATGAGATCCAGGTGGGGCCATGCTCCCAGGTGATGCTTGCTCAGCATTCCAGCACACAGCAGCGATGCTGGGGGTGGTAGCGCACAGAGCTTCACAAGTGCTGGTTGTGTCACTGGTGGTGTCACCTGTCGAGGACGTGGCCCAGATTTGAGTCCTGCTTGTGATGTGATGGGCTGTGCTGGTGACATAGAAACGAACAAGGATATTTGAGCTTTTGCTAGCTAACGGTGGCAGTTGGCTTGGGCAGAAGCCTCCTAGGGTCACCCCCTCAGCCCCTCGCTGTGTGGAGGGCAGGTGGGTGCCTGCGGCCACCGAGGGGTCTGGGAGAAGGGGTGCTTGGGTCGTGACCAATGCTTTTTGCATGCTGATGGAAACAGCACGTTCAGAGGAGCTGGTTTGATGCATACAAACAGATGATGCCTGGGGATCTCTGAGCACTTCATGAGCTCTGCTGGGTGCAGAGCAGCTGCAGGGCTGGCCGGGAAGTTGAGGCACGGGAGCCAGGTGAGATACGTGGGGTCTTTCCCGAGTTGCTTGCTGCACAGTTCTGTCACTTGGCTTGCAGGGTGGTGGCACCACATGGGACGTGACATCTGTTTGGGAGGAGAAAGGGGGATGCTGAGCCTGGTGCTGCCAGGGATGTGGTGATGGGTGCTGCCTGTGGAAAGGTGCAGGCTGGGACTGTGCTTGAGAGAAGGTTTGAGGAGAACATGACTGGGAATGTTTTGACTCCCCTGGTCCAAAGCAGACCTGGATGGCCTCACTGGAGCCTGAGGCTACCTCCACCTGGGTGTCCAGGTGTGCTGGTGGTGTGGTGATGCTTCTTGGTGGGCGGCAAACAGGCTGCCTGTGGGCGGTGCCGCCATCGCACTGGTTGCTGCTGGCGCTTCTGCATCTGCAAAGTGACTCTCAGGGGAGGGCTCTGTGGCTGGGCAGGCTCGCTGCTGTGGGGAGAGCAGCTGGGAACAGCTCCTGGGCTGGGCAAAGGTGGTTACATCCCTGGTCACCTCTCTGGGAGCAGTGTGGGATGTGACACCTCTGGTAACAACAAGAGGGGATGTCTCGGCCTCACTGTGCAGCTGCAGTGCCGGGCTGAGCACGCAGAAAGCGGGTGGGTGGCTGGGAAATGCCCATTGGCCGCCTCCTGGCCTGAGCATCCTTTGGAGCCTGGGCCAAGGGGAACCTCTGGGCGGGGAGGGGAGGTTCACCGCAGACCTCTCCCTGCCCTCCCCGCAGCTCGGGGCGAGCTGGCTGTAACCAAGCCGGTGCTGAGTCAGCGTTCGGCAATTACTCACTCACAAAAGCCTCGCCAGCTCCTTTCAGTGCCGCGCCGTGCCGGGCCCCATGCCAGGGAATCAATTGTCCATGAAGGGCTGTTAGTGCCACACCAGCCACTCTGCCGGGAGGTGCCTGGGTCCCCCTGACACCGCTGGTTACGGGGCACAGGCCTCCGAGGTCTGCTTCATCACCATTACCCCTCTTGCATCCTGATGCTTGCTCCAGCAGGATGAAAGCCTCTCCAAGAAATGCCTGGGTACCAGCCAGCTTTGCCCCAGTAGTCCTGGCACCCACTGGCACGGGCTCACTGGGCTTTCGGGATAGAATTTACTGTATGATGAATGGAGGAGGCAACCTGCAGATTTTCACCCTGAAGCAGTTTTGGGGAGAATTGAGTCACTGGAGAATCAGCTGGACCAGGTCGTGGGCTCCTCTGTGCTGTTCAGCTCTTGGTCTTGCTTTTGCCGTGCTGCTGTTCCTCAGCACCATGGTTGCACCTCTCATGCAAGAAACCGGTGCCTGTTTGATCTACTGAGTTATCGGCAAATTTCTTCAGCAAATAATCCTTGGCTGGCAAATGACTTGCAAACAGCTTGTGGGAGAGGGTTTGCACTTGGCGGTTCATGCTGTGTCGGTTGCGTAAGGCGGGTGGTGAAGTCTGCACGGGGGACGTGTGCGGGCGATTGGCGGGTTCAGGCTTATCTTTGTGGACTAGAACTTCACGCTTGATTAATACATGAGCGTCTGTACAGAGACTGTTGAGCTTGGGAAAATTAATGGTCGTTGGGATCTTTTTGTGACTTAGCAAGAGGCAGTGGCTGTGGTGGAAGAGATGTGAGCACCAAAGGTGTAGGGTAGCGTTTGCCTTGGGATGTGCTAACTGGTTTGGGAATGGATGAGAGATGATATCCATGTGAGCAGGATCTATCCCCAATGGACCTGGAGGGAGCTGGCATCATGCTTGCTGGCCTTTGTCCCTCTGAGGGTGACACAGGGTATTGCTTTCCCTTCTGGACTTATTTTTTGCCATGTGTCTGATGGGAGAGGTGTCATCACGGCCTCAGACACCACACTGGGGTTTTCATGAGCAGTGGGATTTCCTGGGCATGCTCTCCCTGATGTAAATTAGCCTGACAAGGGGCTGCTGCCATGAGTGGTCTCCTGGGACCCTGTGCAGGAATGGATGATACTGACTTGGGTTCAACTGGTGTTTGCTTCTTGTGTCAATAAATCCAGATTTTTTCATCTCGGTGGAAATCAACGCCCACCTAAAACTCCCTGATGCTAAAGCTTCCACTGGGGAACTAATAGTCGCATTTGTAAACCTGCTCTGTTTATAACCTGTGGTTTCCAAATCATCGTCGCTGCCTGAAAAAAACAGCCTGTTCTCCCCCAGCTAAAAATATTTTTCTCTGAAAACGTGCATAAAATACCTTCACTTGTTCTGAGGCAGAACTGGGGAGAGGAACGTCTGTGTGTCTCCTGGGGCTTCAGGATGCTCACCTTGCCCATGTGTGAACCAGAGCTGGCTGGGCACTGAAGCTGGGCTTGTGACCTGCTCAGTGCAGCATGTCCTGGACCTAAAAGGTGAAAACTGCTCAGAAATGATCAGAAAGGGCAGTGTGATCTTTTAACTGGTGGTCCCAAGAGGGAGAGGTTGAAGGATGTTCAGCCATCAGCAACTGAAGCATCAGATCCCGGCTCCCCGGGTGCCATTAATGAATAGAGATGAAGCATCCTAATCCAGCCTGCCTTGTCCTACACCATATTTGAAGGAGTTAATGGACAAAAAAAGGGTTAAAATTCCTCTGCAAATATCCAGGTGGGTGTGTGCTTCACACACTCCAATGCCTGAGCATCACAGCACCGCCTTGGCTTTTTTAATAGCAGTTGCAGTGGTAATACAATAACACATTACGTGAGAGGTGAAGGGGTGGGGGAATGCTTCTAACAACAGGGAAAAAAATCAAAATGGAAATAAAAAGATCCTTGTGAAGTTGTGCTGCCTGGGAGCTAGGGAAGCAGCCACTGTTAAACCAGGATAAATACACCGGGGTCACTAAAAGGAAGAGCTGGCATCAGGGTTTTTTGGAAGGTTTAATAACAGCCGCTACACCTGGATGCCTTTTGTGAAGCCCTTGGGCACTGTGGTTTTCATTAAGGGATTCTGTGAGGTGGAGCATGGCCAAGGGAAGGCAGGAATGAACAATGGCTGGCGGTGCCTGCCGTGCCCTCAGCAAACCCGGAGCCAACCGGAGGGACGCCAGCCCGTGCTGGCAGAGGAAACCCCGGCTCTCCAAGCCCTGATGGTTGGCCTGAAAACCGAAGTCCTCTCCATGCAAAGCCAAGAGGTAGATGTGAGCCCAGCCTGTCCATCTGACCTCTCAGTGACACCCATGCCCTGGTTTTCTGCTGCAGCTACGGTGAAGCAGAAGAGAGTGGTTCCTAGGAGGCTGCTTTCCTCAGTGCTGCGAGGTTGCAACATGAACACAGAATCACAGAAGATTAGGGATTGGAAGGGACCTCAAAAGCTCATCCAGTCCAATCCCCCTGCCGGAGCAGGAACACCCAGATGAGGTTACACAGGAAGGCGTCCAGGCAGGTTTTGAATGTCTCCAGAGAAGGAGACTCCACAACCTCTCTGGGCAGCCTGGGCCAGTGCTCTGTCACCCTCACTGAGAAGAAGTTTCTTCTCCAATTTCAGTGGAACCTCCTGTGTTCTAGTTTGTGTCCATTACCCCTTGTCCTATCATTGTTTGTCACCGAGAAGAGCCTGGCTCCATCCTCGTGACACTCACCCTTTAAATATTTATAAACATGAATGAGGTCTCCCCTCAGTCTCCTTTTCTGCAAACTAAAGAGACCCAGCTCCCTCAGCCTTTCCACATAAGGGAGATGCTCCACTCCCGGGGGTAAGGAGGGCAGGTTTTTCATTGTGGTGCTGCCTGGATTTTGCAATGAGCATTGTGGAAAGTGCCCGGTGCCCTTTTCTCAATCCCCCTCAGCTACTCCATGGCAGAGATGAGGATGCTTTGCCCTCTGGAATTTAGTGCATCTTGTGCGACCCAAATTCTGCATGTCTTAGGTGGCCTTTTTGATCTTGAAGGTCCAAAGCTGTAGGGGGGAGGTCCTGGAATGGGCTCTGGCAGAAGCTTTGTGAGGGAACAGGCTCTTTCCCCTGGCACTGACACCTGCACTTTTCTAATGAAGAGAGGACAGTGAACCTCCAGGCAAGGAAGCTCAGGGGTGTGGATATGAGGCT